CTTCCATTCTTCGTATATAATACTTCTCTCTATCTCTTGTGTCTCATTCCTCTTCACATACTCGACATCTATCTCCGGGATCTCTGTCCCTCCCCCCTCCCCCTTCTCCCCCGTGTCTCTGTGTGTACAAGTACACCTTACGGTCGTTCACACGAGCGCGACCGATGGAATGCACATCGGTATACACACACGCGTGCCCGCCTCCGTGCCGAGGAACCGTTAATGAATCTTGCAGTTCTTAGACCGCCCGTGTGCGTCTCACCGTGAGAGAGAACCAACAGAAAAACAGTATCAGACGTGTACGAGAATCATATTTCTCTCTTTTTTTTTTTTTTTTTTTTTTTTTTTTGTTTCCCCCTCGATTCGGAATTCGGGTGAAAGAAATTCGACGCTTGGAACGTTTTCCTCGCCTAGCAATACCTACCTCTCGTTCGGTATCGTCTTCTCTGAAAAACGTTCTCTGGAAAATTTATATTTCAAAAAACGAGAGAGATTTATTTTTGTACGTGTATCGGGAAATATTGTGGCCGGCTGTAACGAGAGTCGAAACGTCGTCGTAATCGTAGATCGTACGAATCGACTTTCTCATTTCGCTGGTGCCGCACGCTATACGTGGCGTACCTACCACCCACGACGTTGCCCCCGTTCCGTGAAAGAAAGGAAATGTTGATCCCCGATGGGCCTTCGACCGGTCGCCACTTGTCGCTTTTACTCGGTAAGAAAAACTAGACGAAAGCCGAGGTCGCGTTTCGGCGAAACATCTCCGCCCCTGTGATCCTTACTTTCCCACACTTTCCTCCATTTTCTGTGTAATCTTGTTTCTCTTTTTTTCCCCTTCTTTCTTTTTTTCCTTTTTTTTTTTTTTTTTTTTTCCTTTTGTAAACAGTCGATAACCGGTTTTTCTCTCATTTTCGCCGACATCGAAATATTTACGGATCTCGTTTCTCTTCGTCGTTCCATCGAGTTTCTATGAAAAACACATGACATCGGTATGTATTCGTCACTCGAGTAAACACTTGTATCTAATCAATGGCCAATCGGTCTGTCGACCAACTTGCGACAGAACGCGCGCACCCATTCGTTTATCGCTCTACGCATGAATATATCGAACGCATATTTCATAGAAAACGATGAAATAGAAGAAGAGATGGAAAGAACAAAACGAAAAATTTAGGGGAAATTAAGAAGATCGATTTCGAAAATGATGGAACGAACCACCATCGAACGAAATTCCATCCGTCTTACTCGCGTGTCGTGAGACACGTAGCTGGAAGAGTAGTAGTAATAGTAGTGATAGTAGTAGTAGTAGTAGTAGTAGTAGTAATAGTAGTAGTAGTAGTAGTAGTAATAGTAGTAGNATAGTAGTAGTAGTAATAGTAGTAGTAGTAGTAGTACTCCATCCAAAGCAAGCACCAAGTTGGTGGTGGCAGGCGAGAGAGAACCACCACGGTCGGTACAGGTCTGTTTGGCGGCGAGCGGTGGCGGTCCACTTCTGAGAACTAACGGGTCTGTTTCGTCCCCTCCCTTCATATTTCTTCTCTCCTTTTTCCTCTCTCCGTTCTTGGTCACATGCGGCCCTTTACCACCCGCGGCAACGCATCGCGTATACGTAGAGAGTAGTTATATAGGGAATCAACCTCGTGTGGGTGCGTGCAATGCGCCTGCGTGAGTGCGTGTTGGCGAGTGTGATCGCGCATCGCGGCTTGTTGCCGCCGCGTCGTGCGCAACCGCTTGTGCGCAGCTCGCGTCTGCGCATCACCGTGAGCGTGACGCGCCACCGATCACTCTCAGTTTAGTACGAACCGTGCCATAGTACGGTCGTTCTTGTGCGTTTGTATCGGTCTCGTCGATCCACTTTCTCGTCTATCTTTCTTTCGCACCACGGCCGTGATGGAACGCTATGTACGCGTGTGCGCGAGTGTCTGCGCGGACTACGCGGTTATAAACATCCCGTGCGGTTGGTGTCAAGGGCGGACTCGACGAGTAAATTCGGGCCACATGTATATAATATACGATTCGTGTTGTTTGTATACAAAAAAAGCTTGGCCCGTGAGTCTTCTGTACAAGAGCAAGGAAAAGGATATAATACGGTATTATCAGTGCGTTAATAGTGTTTCGATCGAACGCGTTAAAAAGGGACGCGTGCGTCACCACGTGGCTGGAACGAAACAGTTTCTTCGAATAGAGTGAGATCGGAAAAAAGTTATCGAGCGATTTCGAGTATTTGAAAATGAATTACGGGCAATGGCGAAATTTTTGACCGGAAATTGTTCTATCTGTTCCTTTTTCGCGTTTTATTTAGAACTCGTCGCATTTACTTGAAAAACTACTAAAAGAGAACGAACAATTATCATTTATAATCTAAAACAGTTAACAATTGGTGTTGGTCATTGGTTCATGAAATATCGTCGTAAAATACATGTTGAAACAAGAATGCGGGGAATACGTCGATACGTCCGTATCTCTGAACGCGAAACGATATTGAACGAAATATAACGTACGACGAGTATTTTGATAAATAAAAAAGAAAAGATCGATGAAGAATAAATGCGATCCAATGAGGAGGAGGAAGGGAGGGGCAAAAAAAAAAAAAGAAAAAAAGAAAAAAAAGAAGAAAATCGGAAAGAAAGTGNAGGTGTGTATACGACTTCGAAAAACGCATTAAAGGAGTAACGACGAGCAACGTGGCTTTAACCGGTAATTGGACCATTCTTTTTGCCATTGAAGTAGTAATGGCCCTTGTAGCGTGGTCACGCTACACTACGGTGCGCCATAGTACTATAGAGACTTCCGGTCCGCCGCAGGAAGTGAGACACACGTGTTCAGGCGTGTGTGTTCCCATAATACGGGCCCCGGCTCCTCCTCTACAGTGCGTTCCAAGTTCGATGGCCCATACGGGAAGCAAGCAGCACGCCACGGATATACTACCGTTCGTTCGAGGAAACGTGAACCATCGAGGGAAAGAAAAAAAGTGAACAAAAAAACGTCACAACGATGTCGAACGATATTACGTATCACGATACTTTTGATATCAAAAGAGTAACGACGAAATGTACGTATTCACACGCATATATTTATATATATATATATTTATACGTATAAATAAATATTTACCTTATCCTTATCAACGACGTAAACGCGAACAAATTATATCTATTTTTCACATATATATTTCAACTCCGTTTCCTCTTTATCTCTTTACCACATATTCTCATTTATTCGTCTATTTACTTACTTGATCTTTTCGAAATGACGATATTATAATCTATATAAATTCTCGAACAAAGAGCCAATCAACACGTCTTATTCGCATTTATTCGAATCGTGCGTGTAACCGTCCCACCTCGTTCTAACCGATACCTTCTAGTTTCACGATTTAGGAATCGCGTTATCGAACGTGTTATTTATCGAAAGATCTTATTAACCTTTCCCCCTCCCCTGGCCCTTTAGCCTCTCTCCGTGACCAGCTAACGACCGGATCCGTAATCCGAAATTCAAACAACACGCCCCCGGTGTGTTCGAGTAGCCAGATCTTATTATGAATGAATTTTCGGCGTTACATTCATATTTCCTGTGCCAGCGTACGCCCGCATAGGCGGCGACGGAGGCGGCGGCACGGCGGCACGCGCAGAGGTTCTCATTTCAT